TCGTCATATTGGCCTGATTATCTAATCCAACCGTCCAAACTGGTTTGCTGCCTTGCTTGCCTCCGCAAGCTCTCAATAGCTGATTCTAGACGCTCTAAGCCCCGTAAATGGTCTGTATTAAGTGCATCTTGACTTTCCGTATAGTTAATTATAACCTGGAGAGCTTCGTGGGCTTCCTTTGCTGTATATTGAGGCTGGGTAGACTGCCCTTCTTCTTCGTCGTCTTCTCCTTCATTTTGAGTAGTAACTCCTAGGTGGTCATTGATAACCTGTTGTAAAACATCGTCTGGATTAGAAGTCGTTGCTTCTTCTGCATTTTCCTCAACTGGATTAAGGAAGTTTGACATCGCCATTGAATCCTGTATATTTCCAGCATGAATAACCTCGTTGTATAGCTCAGAAATGCCATTTGGTATAATAGGAGTAGGGAGGGATATCGGGGTTGAAACTAGAGTTGACTTTCGAAAGCAGTTATATATAGTTGTCTTTGTAACATCGTTGTTCCAACTGCGTAGAATCCAGCGTATAGCCATTCGAATATCAATAGCAGACTGTGGATCTTGGCCTGCCTCTATCGATTGAAGCATAAACTGAAGCCATTGCCGTCGATAGCATGCTTTGAAGTTTTGGATAATTCCTTGATCTAAAGGCTGATATCGACTTGTGCTATTTGCTGGAAGCCAGCATATTCGTATATTCGACGGAGGAGGATTGGTTTCAATAGCAGAGTAGTGAGCTGAGAAGTTATCCATTGTAAGTAGAACTTGATGTGTTGATCCAATATGCTGATAGAATTCTTGAAGCCATTCACACATAATAGTAGTATTCATCCAAGCCTTCTTATTCCATCGCCATCGCCCACCCATTGTTGATATGCTAACATTCCGTAGAGCTCGAGGAGTCTTCGCTTTACCAATAATCCATACAGGTAGACGATCTGATCCTGTTGCATTAACACAAAAGCAAAGAGAGATACGAGCTTTCTCTCTCTTTAATCCAGGGTAGGACTGTGATAAAAGCCCTCGTGACGGTATCATCTTCCAAAATAAGCCAGTCTCATCCATATTATATATATCCTCCTCTTGAAACTCTCCTGCAACAGTTTGGAGAGCCCTCATTTTGTCTTCTGCCGAGTCAGGAATTGATCCAGCTTCACCGTGTCGAATCCGTAATGATATATGGTATCGTTTCTTAAACCTCTCAAGCCAGCGGCTACTAAACTCAGGGCAGGGCTGGCCTGTATATTGAGGAAGTTGTGCCCAGATTCGCCGTGCCTTTTCTTGAAGTAAATCACCAGTTGTAACCCCTCCTTCTTGTTCAATTTGTATCTGCCAATCAAACAGAATTTTCTCTAGCTCTGGCCAGTTGCCAGTACGAAGTCGTAGGCTTGTCGGATGCGAAGAGTCATCAAGATTTGCAAACGTATTACTTAGAGACTCGGAGACTGTAGATTGGCTAAGCCGATGGCTGTACTCTTGAAAGAACCACTCGATACACTGCCTTTGAGTAGGCTTTGGGACTTGTCGATGAGCCCAGCGGCGTAGAGCACGTCGTTGTTCGATTGAGATCCCTCTCTTTGGCGGCATTGTGGATGGCTTCAATTCGATGGCATTACCCCTGCTAAGCCGATATTACGAGGTTTACAGACGATATCGTGGATAACGTACATGTATAGCGAAAGCACCAAACAAGCGAAAGCGCCAAAATTATCTACCCTCACGACAAACATTGCGATAAATCTACCACAACATTAGAAATCAATTGAAACTACTCGGAGTCCTCTTCCTCAGAGGTGTCTATTACAATCTGACACGTGCGCGCATTGTGCCCAGTCTCACCACACTTGCCACAGCGACGGGCACGGGTTTCTTCCCTTGGCTTCCGACCACGGCTTGCCCTTATTTCCTGCTCTACCTGCTGCACAACATCCCTCTCATCCTGTAGCTCTTGCGCCCCTTGTTGACTAAGTGATCCTCCTTGCTGTAGTCGTGTTTTCCTAGCTCTCCGGCGCTTGCTTAGTACTTCATTTGCCTGTCGTAGGTTTTGGTTCTCTCCCTTTAGCAGTGCTAATTGATGCATTATTTGCGATGCACCCTTTGTAAACTGGTCAACAGCTGCATAGATTGAGGTTGGAGAGCTATTTTGATGGCGTGAAATCCGAGTTTTAATAAATGTAGACTGTGACATAGCTTCAATTGGGTTGTTTGGTGTCTGAGAAACCCAAGGTTGAGCAGTACCTGGGCGGGAGCTTGGAGGCGTTGGTGTCCTTAACTTAAGATCAAGTGTAGATATCACTCTCTCAGGGTCAAATGGAAGAAGCCCTGCCCCTCGGAACCCGCCTCGAATGTTACTTTCCGTCATTGTAGTGTTAAATGCAGCGTGGAAGGCAGGAAAGAAGTCATCCTTTGTAATATGAGAAATATGAGCCTGCATCATATCTTCAATTTGCTGACCATAGGCCTGCTTTAACGGGCCGAAACAGCCAACATCAAGTGGCTGGAGTAGATGAGAAGAGTGAGCAGGCATACAAAGCGTAATAATGTTGTGTTCCTTGCAGTACTCCTCAAACTCATCTGAGTGGTGGCTCTCATGACCATCAAGGACTAACAAGCGATAACCACCAACACTCCGGGCCTTTGTATGCTTCTCAAAGTGCTGAATCCAATCCATGCCTCTCTCGTTTGTAGTCCAGCCATTTTCAGTAACAGAAATCACCCAATCGCTTGAAAATCCACTATTCTCATACCAAGATGTAAGGTGGTTTTTGCCTGCAACAATGATAAATGGTGGTACTGCCCAACCTTGAGAACTAACGCCTTGGATTACTGTAACCCATTCCCGATTACCAGGCTGTACCTTCTTTGCTTTTGCCCGCCCGTCTGAGCTTGTTACAACCATAGCAGTTGAGATAACGCCCATCATAAACCCAGTCTCATCAAAGTTGTAGATATCTGCTTCATCGATACCATATTTCGCAATTGTGTTACGCACAAGCTCAAACCAGCCATTAATAACTTCTGGATCTTCGCACTTAGCCCTCTGGTAGTCGTATTTGCGCTGAAAGCGTGTCTGGAGCTCTACACGCCGCTTAACAAAGTTTGAAGCCCAACGCGACCCAACGCGTGACGCGTCGCGTGTTGCAAGTAGTCGACTTGCCATATCTTCAACAACAGACAGCCGAGGAGGAAACCCTTTGGCAGCTAGGTCGAGTATATACTGAACAAGGACGGACTCCTCTAGGTTAGTTAATTTCCGTGAGTTGGCTTGGATATCGCGTCGTGAAGGTACACCTTCTAGACGACGACCTAGCTTGCGGTGGTCCACAGAATAGATCCTAGCAGCAACTCGAAGGCGTAACTTTGGGTCGCTTTGCATAGCCTGGATAGCTAGCACTAATTGGCTTTCATTGTTTTTATGGGGCATGTTTTGTTGTTGAGGAATTTAACATTTAGTTGGGGGGTTTGGTCACCGCATCATTTTGGCGCTTTCGCTTGTTTGGCGCTTTCGCTATACATGTACGTTATCGGTATTTATATGTGGTTTTATTCTATCCCGGAAAATATATTGCACTAACGGAAATATCGTCATAATGAGGATCGTCTTAACAGGGGTTTGACTGTATATTACGATTTTTCAGAGTAATTTGCAACAAGACCGCTAGGGCATCTAGAGTAATATAGCTAATTAGAGAGTGACATTAAGTATAAAAGAGCAAAAAACCTTTCTCGACAATAAATTCGGCAGGAATCATCGATACCGTCGGGTGAGAGATGATTGGGACACCTGGTGCAGGTGGCACTATATCGGGTGGATCAGTGGACACGCGGCCCCTCGCCGAACAGATCTGGTTGAGCCAGGGTTGCATCATCCCGCCTTCTGGCGTTGTGGCAGTTGCCTTATCCACACCTAATTTATTTATTCTCTTTACTCCCTGCTTGCTCTAATAAACCTTCTGAATTGCGTTTCCGTTGATATTTCGCGACAACATCTTGTGGCGACATATTTATAGGTATTGGAAACGAAGTCATCTTACCACTATTTAGTAAATACCATTAAAGTCGGGAGTAAACCTACAATTTCTTTCTTAGATGGTGGGAAACATGGATTACCAGGAGATACATAAGTGTAATAACGCCCCTTCTGATAGATGATCAAAGCAACATCAGCGCCATATAATTCCCCATACTCATGTACCTTGTTGGTTAAAGTGCTTCTCCTTCTAGATGCATTCTGGCTTTGGCGCTTCCATACGTTACGCACATTTGGACAGAGTATATTGGACATGGCGCTGACAGACTTATGTCTCAAGTAATTTGAAGTGTTGTAGTTAAATCAGGATAGTTGTAGGGGTGCCGCTGGCATTTTATAGAGATCTAGTTGGCCTAGAAAACAGTTATTCTGCTGTTCCAAGCTTGTGCCATCTCTAGTGGAGTCCGCGCATCCCAATATGGTATAGTGCCACGTGCACTCGATGGACCTTCACTCGATGGTATCGATGATCCCTCACCATCCAACGGGTCCTTATCATCCTTTATCTGATGGTAGACCATCCGATGGTCCTAAGTATCCTGTACCTGATCGTATCATTGATCCCTCACCAATTATACACTGACTATACTCGCCGAGAATCAGAGTAGAAGCTAGGGCTGAGGCACCATAAATCATGTGACTTATCTGCCTAAGGCTGAACTTGCTGACCAGAATGGAGGCTCATTGCCTTGTTATCCAACTTTAACAATAGCTCACTTCTGACTTACGACTTTGACAGAAGCACTGTGAGTATTTGTCATCATCTATTCATAATGGCGTGAGATAGCTGATACTTACGATGGCCTGAAGTTCGTCAGACAAAATGTGAATCACGTGGACCTCGAGGACACTCCACGAACGGGAGCATGTAGGAGTTACGGAATTATACAGTCATGAAAGCGAAATATTTGGCTAAAGATGTGTAATCAATCTTGAGTACAACAAAGAATTTCGCACTTCCGAAGAGAAGTTCATATTTCAAGGATTTTCTCTCCCGCCCTCAGACTGCCGAGTTCGGTTTCAAGCATGATCCTTCTCCCGACAGTCTCATCCTCATCACCCGCGATCTGATGTAGCTCGGCGTCAGACATCTTGCTGATGAATTGCGGAGAGAAAATCCAGAGGGGACTGGTCTTGCCACTAACGAGGAAATGATCAACTGCTTGTAAACAGACAGCATCGACGAACCTCTTCCGGGCAACCTTGTAGTAAGACTTCAGCGTATCATGCAAATCTTGAATCGTGTGATCATCGTTGCTCATAACTACTCCTAATATGTCTTTCAAGCGCAAGAGCGGCTCTCCACCTCCCTCTGTCTGCCATGAGTTCAGGGCTTCAAGTTGGAGCTTCAGACGTGCTTCTCGTGCTTTGCGCACATTCTGTGCGAAATAGTGATTCATGGTCATCAAATTTCCATGTCGCTCAATCTCAACCAAAAAGGAAGCTTGCTCCAAAGCCTTCTCATATACCGGAAGAAGAGGTGGGACTAGCTTTTCCCACAGCCGTTCGCAGAGCGCATCGTCATTACAGCAGTACTGAAGGACCTTATAGTTGAAGTGATGGATTTTGCGTATCACCTTGGTCATGTGGTTCTGCGTGTGGAAGCCCCACGCCCGTGACTGTTCAGCAAACAGTGACGGCATGAGAGATGGATTGGTCGTGCCAATCTCAAATCCTTTTGACCGATTGTATTTGTATGTAACCCATTCCATTATGCCGTCCTCAGCGGGTTCTGGCAGCGGTTCTGCATGAGCCATAATGCCTCGCAACTCCGGATACTCTGGCGATTCGGTCTCAGGAGTCAGGGGTTGTGATGAGGAGTGGGCGGTTTCACGATCAAGGCTTTGATCAGGACTTCGAACAGGGCTGCCCAGAGAGAGGGCGTCATCTGTGTGCGTGGCCCCACCAAAAGCTCGAGTGAATCCTTTCCTGTGGATCGCCTTGGAGAAATCCTCGTTCATCTCCACGATAAGTGTAGCTAGTCTGAAGATGTCGTCTATTTCGAAGCACTCGTCTCGGTTGTAGTATGCATCGATGGCCTTCGCCGTAATCTCGCGGAATTTTGAAGCGACGTTGATGAGGTGATTTCGCTGCTCATATGCTGTCTGTCTCGCAGGGCCTATGATCACCAGCTGTTGCTCGAGCTTTCCTATCCTTCCACGAATATCCACGGCGACCCCTTGGAAATTCTGTCGAGTAACTTCAACCAATAAGTTGTTCAATCGGTGTTTCAAGGCTTTGATACCCGCTCTCTCCTTTGGAATGGAGCTCCAGGGATCTAGGGTGAAAAAGGCGACCTCTTTGGTATTACGCTCGTCGAATGTGATGCTGAGGTCGCTCTGACTCCTGTTACAAACGATTGTGTATCCGAGTTCAAACCGGCCTTTGCCCTTGGTATTTGTAACAAGCTCCAACACCTGGAGCCGTATCAGCAGAGGATCTCATGAGTTCACGAGCGCCCTCCAACCTTGTCTTCGGCTCCTTTGTCTACTAGGTCAGGCTTGGTCAATACTCCAAGCGTACGTTGACCATGAGGATCAGCATCCTCCGCCATTTGAATTATTTCTTGAGTGGCAATGTCGACGTTCGCAGGAACTACGGCTCTAATATCGGTAAGCAGCGTCTCATCGAATTAAATGTCATCGCATACTAACAATATAATACTTCGCGGGTTGCTCAGATGCTTTCCAACCATTTGCCTCACCAAATCCATGTCCACCTTCGTTGTTTGGCCTGCCGTGGGCTCTAATAGGTTTTAGCAAATCCGAAATGCACCAGCCTTGCATCAGGAGAGACCAGGGAGGTCAACGACACTGAAGTGCTCATATTCTGGTCCTGAGAGCTCAAACTTCAGGATATTATGAGAGAAGGACTCCATATCAACCTCACGATTATTCCCTGGCAATGGAAGACCCATACATTCCGATGCCTATGTATGACGGGCAAGGGTTAGCATTGCGGGGTCAGCCTTTGAGTGGGTTTACCTTTGCTAGGATGTCTGAGAAGGTTTTCTGGTCCAGAGCCTTCAATTGCATTTTACCGAACTTCGCTATCGCGTTTACCTTCGAGCCATCCTGCCCGTGAGCAGCCATGATGCTAGCTTCGGTCGTCAGGATTTTGGACCGCTTGAAAACGATCTGAGTTGGGAACCGGGTACAAAGACCGGAATCTCTTGGGAATGGAAGCCCGGTTAGTCCTTCGAGTACTGAACTTTTACCGCTCGATTGATCGCCAACGACGACAAGCTGTCATTGTCTTCATCAACATTGGCGGAAAATGAACACCAAATGCAACCTTACCTGTGGAAGAGATATATATTGATCCAACCGCAAATCGTATAGCTCATCAATCTTTTGCAGACGAGATTGGTCTTCGGCCAGCATCTTGAAGTTTGTACTCGCGAGATCGCGACAACAGGTGATACACGTTGAAGGTTTGGTATTTTGAGGAACGACGTATGCGCTGGTCAAGTTGAAAGACTCAACCAGCGCATGCGTGATGAAGTGGTCGGGTGATCGCGCTTGATTGCCTGGGGCCAACGGATAAGTGGAGATACCTTTGGTGCCAGTCGACGAGCTATGTAGACTACAGGAATTGTGTCCGATCTTAGAATTGGAGTGCTCTCTTGTTTTAACTTCAAAGATGGAGTCAAGGATTGCCTCAAGCTGCCCTCCTATGACCTTACGAGAGCGTGAAGCCCTAGATGCAATACAGCTTGGATTCTTGATTCCGCCTCTCCCAAGCATTTTCCAAGCAAGTGCGACACAGGTCTTGACCAAAGAGGTATGCCCCCTCGAAACTCTACAAATCCTCACTGACTTGGGTTCAAGTTGTTAAAAGCCTTCATAAATCGCCTATTGTCAACGATCTGTCACGACAGCTTGGCAAAAATACCGAACACTGATTGCTGGGGCTTGGAAGGTAACGAAAATGGCTTTATTGATCTGGGCAGCTGGGATCCGCGGCGCCAGACAAATCAGGATGTCTATAAGGTGACCGCCTTGCCAATTACAAGCGATCCCGGAAAACTTACACCTATCTATCCACAATGGGCAATTCTGGGGGGAGGGTTGCTGGCTTCAGGCATCAAATCTATTCACCTACCGACTAACGAAGTCTTTGAAATTCGAGAGTCTCATCTGCTGGTAGTGGTTAACTGTCGAGTGAAAGTTAGAGTCTCTAACAGGAGGACGAAGATTGAGGAAACAAGTAATACTATATTGATACCAGCAGATCTGAAGGTGGTCGATCTGGTGAAAGCGTTTAAGGTCATGGGTAATGTAAGCAGGGTCTTTGAGATACCAGACTCTTCGAGCAATATACAGACAAGAGATACTCGAACCGCCACGGACCTTGGTTGGAGGCACGGCACCGAGTTGAGGCTGGAGATGTTGTGAACAATTCAAAAATTCATGACTTTATATTTTAGAAGCGGTTTCCCACCACTCGTTGGCCTCCCACACAGTTTGCTTAGCCAATTAATCTCTTGCCTCTCTGCCCATCATCTTTATTGAACCACCGCAAAAGGCACGTTTGCCTCCACCTCCTTTAATAGAAAGCTCCGTCAACACCTTTTCATGCGTATGCCCTGCGCTTAGTTTGTGCCACAATGTCCTTCATCGGGTGATTGTAGGTTTCCGGCAACTCTCGACCCGTCCCCCGCCTTGTCTTTCTATTGAAAAGAACAACGAGAGACGCAGTACAAACTGTTCACGGTAGAATATTCTAGCAACCTGGCAACTATCAGGCCTTGATTCTAAAGCATGAGGCGGCACGTGACGTGGAATTACAACAGCTCGCCCATTTCGCTCCAAACTCGCCGGATTTTGGGTATCAACGCATGAGACTCAGCCAATCCCCTTTGTTGAGTATGTTAAACAGTTTCACATTTAGTGGAGGCTACCATTGGAGGCCGCACCATGCCTACAAGCTTTCCATGAATTATCTTCCAACATCGCCTTCAATCCTTCGATAGTACACAATAGCACATCTACTGCTCGAATACAGGGCGGACAGTACACGAAAATGTATAGCATGGCGACTGATCTAATGTACGCACTTCGGGAGGTCCCAGGGAAGGGTAAAGGACTCATCGCCACACGAAAGATCCCTATGGGTACGCGCATCCTCTCTGAAGAGCCCATCATCAGAGTGCCCGAAGCTGCTCCTGACACCCTTGCGCTACGAGCCTCCATAAACCAACAAGTCGATGCACTCACTCCGGACCAACGACAAGCCCTCCTCTCCATGCATAACATCCACGACGACGATGCTGCCTCGCGGTACCTGGGAATCATCCGAACGAACGCGCTTCCTTTTGGGGACTGTGAAAGGGAAGCGGGCATTCGTTAATGCATGCCGCATTAATCATGACTGTGACAACAATGCCCAGAAAAGCTGGAATGAGAACATCAATCGACACACCGTCCATGCAAAACGAGACATTGAGAACGGCGAGGAGATCACAATTTTCTACCTCGGTGTCCTCAACAACCGCAAAACCCGCCAAGAGGCTCTTCGAAGCAAATTCAGGTTTACCATCTTGTGTCGCCTTTGTTCCTTGCCGCCAGATCAAAGCCAAGAAAAAGATAGAAAGCTGAGTGAGATCCTTACGCTAGATGGTCTCATTGGCAGAGATGGCATGATGGGGATCTTATCGGCACCACTACGAAAACTTCGATACGTTGATCAACAGATCCGGCTCTACAATGAACTGGGTCCGAATGACAACGGTTTGCCAAGGGCATTTATCGACGCTGCACAAATTGCTATTACCCATGGAGACCTCGCCAGGGCACGAATTTTTGCTAAGAGGGCGGTGCTAGGATGGATTGTCCTCGAAGGCGACGACGGCTCCCAAGTGCTTCAATACAGAGCGCTGACCCAAGAACCCTCGAAGCACGAGTTATACGGGACTACAATGAAGTGGAAGACTGCCATAGATAACATTCCTGTGGGACTTGACTCGGGAGACTTTGATGATTGGCTGTGGAGGAGGGACAAGCCAAAACAACTCGGACAACCGGTAGACCTTCGCAACCGGACGACGTTCCCGGGTTTCAATGATTTACCAGACGAGAACGACGTTGATCTCGAATTCTACGCAAGTAGTGACGGGTTTACCTATCGACCACACCGGCATTGGTTGTTCTTGGCCGAGATTGTTGACTTCGCCACGAAATGGACGTCAAAGATGTTGAGGGCACGACGATTCCGCTCTTCTTCTATACAAACGACCGGGGCGATGAATTGGCACCTTCACAAGTTCAGAAAGGGTACACAATTGCGATTCTCTACGCAGAGCGTCACGCATTCATGTTTTCCGAACCGGGAATCCGGCTCGAAGAGCCTACGAATTTCAAGGTACATTACAGCTCCATCAAACACCACCAACCTAGTCTACGTCCCTAATCTAGCGCGCTTCCACAGATATTTCCACTATCGCTAGAGAAACTGCTACCGTTGGGCGACCGGGTCCAAAACTTCTCGATAGAAATGAATGGTACAAGAATATGTCATGGGTGTGATATGAAGGCAGCCTCCTTAAAGAAGTGTGCCAGGTGCTCGCTTTTTTGGTACTGTAACGCGGTTAGTGGTGATCTAAGCCTCTCCTGTTCGACTGGGATGCTGACTTGTAACAATCAGGCCTGCCAGCGCACTGGCTGGAATGACAAAGGCCACAAAGTAGACTGTAATCTTCTCAGGGATACTGATTTGAAGGGACTGTTTTCTCTCGACTGGGATAGTTTTGAAGGCTATGTTCAATTTCCTCTGAAGACGGCAACGAATTAGAAAAGCCTTGGCTCTGTTCAAGAGACTGGTAGTCGCAATAGCCTGTTGGTAAAAGATCTTTCGTATGTTCATCAAACGACACTGTAGTCATGTCATCATTAGGTGGTTGAAATAGGATCGCCGACTTTATACCTTCTTATAAGAATAGCTTTGCCGATGCTGACGTCCGCTAATAAGTTGTCGCAGCGTTGCATTAGTAAGATTTCATAGGCAGATTTCATAGACAGATTTTGGATCGATGGTGATACTCCCATTCTTATGAAATCTATACGCCGATTTTCGGCGGTGCCAGCCAAAGCCTTTCGCAGCATTCCACTTTCGACGGCAACCCCACCGTGCCATGCATGCAGGGTTAATCACGTTAGTGTCCGCAATTATGGGTCCAATTTAAATCAGAAGGTCTGTCTGTGGTGGATCAATGGGTGGTCCCGCCAGCGGGGTCCACGACAAAGTAACTTAGCGGGGTTGGAGTAATCCCTTGTCACTCAGAAGGTCAATGATCTCCCGGTGTCCGCCATGGGCCGTGCCATGTGCACCAGATGGACCTCCACCCGATGGTATCGAAGGTCCCAATCATCCTCGGTAGACCATCCGATGGTCCTAATTATCCTTTATCTGAAGGTAGACCGCCCCAAGGTTCTAACCATCCTTTATCTGATAGTATGTATGATCCCTAGAGAGCTCGTGCCGCTGTTAGACGAACAGCGATATTCTAGCCCGTTACAGAGAGAGGGGCTTGTGTGACAACCTTCAGTCGACGATTTGAGTATCATCTGTGCATGTCCCAAGCTTGGATTCTTGGCGCGTTCCCGTGCATTCGTGAAGCGTTGGGGTGGCGCCTCTGCATCGACATTTACTACTACGAGCTATGCTAGTACAAATGAACAGAAAACTGGAAACGGAGTACGGACGTAGAACTTTACTACTGCAGCTGTGGCAGTACAAATGGAGTACGATGTAGAAACGTACTATTACAGAGCTGTGGTAGACTCTATCGCAACATGAGCAACGTACTATTTTCATACATGTCTCTCACACTTCTTAGTAAAGACAGTTGTAGGTGATATGTATTCCTTAGGGTATGACTATGATATCCCACCACAAAGCAATTTAGACTTGATGTCAATATAGACAAACCAACTATCCTAATTGCACATCCACGAGTAGACACTGCAAAAGAGAAAAAAACGTATTTGAAGGCCAGCTTTCCCGATCCTTGCTGCTTATTTAGGCAGAAGATACAGTTCACCAGCGTAGTGGGCTTCTCAGATCACACGTAATTGTGCATATTTTCGATCCCTCCCCCGCCTCGAAAGTCGGATTTGAAATTGGCACTTGCCTCAATCGCGATGTCCAAATGAGATTTTCCCAGCTGAGTTCCGTCTTGTTCGGCTAGGGCAAGTGCTATAGACACCAAATTTTTGATCTTAGAGCCATATTAGTAACCATCTATCACTGCGAGGAGGGGACTTACATCCTGTAAGGAAGGCCATCACGTGCCACCACGTGAGGTCCCTTTCATAAGCGGCCCATAGGGCTCGGTAAAATAGGGCACAAGGTGCATAGATAAAAGGGGTTGGAGGCCTCGGAAGAAGGCCTCCAGTCAATAGTCGCTGTGTATACGTAGACCTATTGTGCTTACAGAATACGATACCTTCCTGCCTCCTGACCTGGTTCCCTGGACTCCCGTGAGACCTTAGGCTTACGCTTTACAATTCTATTGACTCTACCCATATCCAGCCTACTGGGTCAGGATGGCAAGTTTGGAAAGACGGATTACTCGAGCGACCTCGGGGGGAGCGACATCAGCCACCGAGGCCACCGTGGCAGCTCCAGGACCTACGACCCAAGAAATTGACGACTTGGTGGCCGACCAAGGCGGGAATATGGCCTCGAAGTTGGCCGACCTTCAGAAGCGAGTGGAAGAAGAGAGGGCCTACTTCAACACAATGAAGGAAGTCCTAGAAGTATTCCGAGGATCGCACGGTGACGATTACAACGCCTACCCTGAGGCGGTACGGGACTTCGCGAAGAAGCAAGCCCAGATTCAGGAAGAGAACTGTCGAAAAAGGCGACACCAAGATATCGAGGACGAGTGGGAAGGACCCCAACAAGAGGAGGAGGCAGAGACTGCCTCTACCGTATCAATGGAGGTCACACCAGCCCAGAGACCAATAGGAAGGGTCAAGGAACCTAAGGTATATAAGGGTGAATCCATCCGAGAGCTCAACGAGTTCATGGCCTCGATCCGCGCTATCTTCCGATACCAACCAAGGGTTTTTCCAACCGAGCAATCTAAGGTGGCCTTCGCTGCCCAATACTTGGAAGGACACCCTATGAAGGAATGGGATAACCGGTGCGCAACCCAAGGAGAAGGATACATAGATCCCTTGGATATCGCTGGGTTCGAAGAGTTTCTTCGGAACCTCCATGTCGACCCAGCCAACCGACAACGCATCGCGGCCTTGAAGTATAACGTCGCCCTACAACGGAAAGGGCAGAGCATCCGCAAGTTCGTGGCCTACCTTGAGGACCTCGAACGCGAGATGGAACCGTATACTGAATCGCAGAAGACTGTCCACCTTCTGACGAAGATTCACCCAGAGATGAGGCAGCGGCTCCTTGAAGGAGGGTACGCAGAGCGTTCCTCTACCCACAGGGACGCTATCGTTAATATCCTGGTGATGTTAGAAATGACAAACCAGTGGGTAACAGACAGAACTCCTACCAATGACAAGCCCAACTCAAGGGAAGGAAGGAATACCTCCCAGGGCAGCTTTCCATTCCGAAAGGGCAACTCTGGCAGCCACAGGGCTCCCCAGCCCTTGGCCCAAGGAGAAAGAACACCCTTCTGGAATAGACACCGCCCACAAGACCAGCGGCCAGCGAGAGGACAGGCCCCTATCCACAGTAGGGACGCTAGGCCAATCCCTAGCGGAATCAATTGTTATAACTGTGGCAAGGCGGGCCACCTCGCGAAGGAATGTCGAGGCCCACGCCAACACACAGGCCCAGGGGTGAGGAAATTGGACGCCTACACCCCTAAGAGGGAGTGACTCCCAGCAGAACCCCAGAAGCCTACGGCGCAGCGTCGAATGGAGATCGAGGTAGAGGTGCAGGTAGGGCCCGGATGGCACAAGGCAAGAGCCCTCCTCGACTCAGGATCTGACGCGTCCACCATCCACCCTCTGTTTGCCAAAGAGAAGGGTTTGGAGTGCCGGGATAGGGCACCGCCACGGGCAAGGGCAGTCGATGGAAAAGAGGTTGTGATATATGGAGCGGCCACCACCCAGGTCCGAGCTAGGGACCACTTTCAAAGGGAATGCGTGGTCGCCCAGACCCTCCTTTCCATGGACACCCCAGGAGTAGACGTCATCCTTGGGATGGATTGGATGACGCAGGTCAACCCCCAGATCGACTGGCGCGAACAGACCTGGCGCCAGCCCTTCGATATTGCGAGAGCCGAGGTGGCGGATATTGAAGAATGGGAGGAAGGTGATACTGCCTTCGTCTTGGCCTTAAACACAGACGATAGCGCGCCTACCCAATGCCCGAAAAAATACGAGGACTATATCGACGTCTTCTCAGAGGAAAAGGCAGAAGAACTGCCAGAGCTGGGAAGGAAAACCCATGCCATCGATACTGGGCTCCAGGAACCACCGTATGGGCCAGTATATAACCTATCGGAAACGGAGCTGGCCACGCTCCGTAAATACCTCGACGAGAGCGAGAAGAAGGGTTGGATCCGAAGGAGCGTAAGCCCTGCAGGCGCGCCCATCCTATTCGTTCAGAAGAAGGACGGAAGCCTACGCCTCTGCGTAGACTACAGAGGCTTGAATAAGATTACCGTGAAGAATCGACACCCGCTGCCACTGATCACGGAGACCTTGGATCGGCTCCAAGGGTCGAGGTGCTTCACAAAGCTTGATATTAGGAATGCCTACCACCGCATCCGTATTCACCCAGGCGACGAGTGAAAGACAGCGTTCCGTACTCGATACGGACACTTCGAGTACAGGGTGATGCCTTTTGGATTGGCTAACGCACCTGCAATGTTCCAAGCGTACATGAATGAGACCCTACAAGGGTTGGTTGACACCATATGTGTCGTATACCTTGATGATATCCTCATCTACTCCCAGAAGGAGGAGGAACATGCTGACCACGTACGAGAGGTCCTAGGACGCCTACGCGAGGCGAACCTATACGTGAAGCTCTCAAAGTGCGAGTTTAATGCCAAGAAGGTAAGCTTCCTTGGGTATATTGTCACGACGAAAGGGGTGGCTATGGAAAGCGACCGGGTTGCTGCAATCGCCGATTGGCCAATACCTAGGACCCATCGAGAGGTCCAGGTGTTCCTCGGCTTTGCCAACTTTTACCGGCGCTTTGTAAAGCAATACTCCTCCGTGGTGGCCCCAATGACAGGCCTTATGAAAGGGGCAAAGGCAGGCAAGCAGACAGGCCCGTTCGTGTGGGGGGAGGAACAGCAAAGCGCCTTCGGCCAGTTGAAGAAGGCCTTCACTACAGCCCCCACACTGGTCCATTTCGACCCATGCCGTAGAATCAGGCTCGAGACGGACTCGTCAGGCTTTGCGCTCACTGCGAACCTGTCCCAATTAGTGGAAGGAACTAAGCCAGAAGAGAAGGGCGAATGGCACCCAGTTGCCTTTTTCAGCAAAAAGCTAGATCCAGCAGAGCTGAACTATGAAGTCCACGACCAGGAACTCCTGGCGATCGTGAAGTCCTTCGAGCAGTGGAGACACTACCTCGAAGGAAGCCAGTACCCAATTGAGGTCCTAACAGATCACAACAATCTGAAGTATTTTATGGAAACCACCGCCCTCACAAGGAGGCAAGCGCGGTGGGCGCAGTTGTTATCAGCCTATGATTTCCACATCTCCTATCGAGCGGGAAAAACAAACCCAGCAGACGGTCCATCTAGGAGACCAGATTATGAGGGTGAAAAGGGTAGCCAGAATGTGATGCTACCGACCCTTAAGAACAAGCTCCAAGAAGCCATGCAGGCAGGAGGTATCCCGCAGATAAGTCGGACGATAACAAGCCAAGAAGGCTTTCAGATAGGAGAACCTAACCTACAGCGTAGGAAGGCAAACGCTAGCAGCGTAAGACTGGGCGATGACCATAGTAAGGACACCAAGAGTCCAGGTCTCGTTGTCCCTCGGGTTGCAGTAGCTGCTGTAGCCAAGGGAGAGAGCGCCTATAGTGCTGCGTCTGAACCCCTAATAGACTTGATCAAAACCCTCCAGGCGACTGACGAGTTAGCTGTTAAAAGGGCCAAGGATATTGGGTTGGCGCGAGCAAAGGGCTCTTCAGATTGGAGAGTAGACGATGCAGGCATCCTACGCTTCAAGGGAGCGGTATACATACCTCCCAATCAGGCAGTGCGGATGGAAATCTTCAAGATTTGCCATGACGACCCACTGGCCGGGCATTTTGGATATAAGAAAACCCAAGAGTTGATCCAACACAAATACTACTGGCCTGGCCTCAGCGAGGAAACCAGGGAGTACGTACGGGGCTGCGATAGATGCCAGCGCATCAAGCCCGTGCGGCATAGGCCATATGGCAAAATGCAGGCCTTAAGAATGCCCTCGAAACCATTTGAATCCATAAGTATGGACTTTATCACGAATCTGCCCCCAAGCGTAGGGGTGGATCAAGGCAAGGCTTCAGACTCCATCCTTGTGATTGTTGATCGTTATACTAAGGTGTCCAAATATATACCCTGTAGGAAAACCATCACGGCCCCAGAGCTGTCTCGCCTCTTCCTTGCATTCTGGGTAAAGGACTTTGGAATCCCAGCTGAAATAATCACGGATCGAGGGAGTGTGTTCACCTGTCACTTCTGGTCAGCGTTCTGTTTTCACCTCAAAGTAAGGCGTAACCTATCGACCGCTTTCCACCCTCAATCCGACGGCCAGACCGAGAGGCAGAATCAGAATATTGAAGCCTACTTGCGGATCCACTGTAATCAGCACCAAGACAACTAGGTGGAACTCCTCCACTTCGCAGAATTGACTGTTACGACGGAACAAGAAGGCTGGCCAACTACAGGACAGGAAGGAGGGAGGTCGCATGAGACCGACCCTGGTACCTGGAGGGGCAGCGGGGAATAGTAGTTCCGAAAGTATCACGTGACGGACTCGCAGGATGATGAGAAGAGTCCTAAGAGTCCAGGACTCCGAGGACTCGAGTGAGTTCCCAAGAGTCCACTAGGCACGTGACGGACTCGCAGGATGATGAGAAGAATCCTAAGAGTCCAGGACTCCGAGGACTCGAGTGAGTTCCCAAGAGTCCACTAGGCACGACGCCACTATATAAGTAGATAGTATTTCCTTAGATAGGAGCTTCGTGCTCAACTCAATACAGTATTTGTTATATACTAGTAACGTGTTACTTGAAGCCTTTGTGTCTGATCCCCTGCCTCCTCTGATAAGTAAACCTTTACGCAAGAGAACCTCTGTGTCTTCTATCGTTTAGAAGTCAGCGTTACATTGACCTACAATAACGCCTTCCACGATTCCATCCAGATGTCGCCAAACCAGGCCCGATACGGCATCAATATAGACCTAAGACAAGGGATCGAGGACGACCCCACCAGAAGGGAAGTGCCAGTCGCGAAAGATCGCATCAACCTGATCCTGGAATTGCGACAGGAGCTCGAAGAGGCGTGGAAACAGACGAAGGAAGCCCAAATACGAGGCTACAACAAGCTGCACAAGCCAATGCAGTACGTGGTAGGAGAGAAAGTATGGCTTTTGGCCAAGAATATCAGAACCACCCAGCCAAGTAGGAAGCTTGGGCACCGCTAGCTTGGCCCGTATGAGATCACCCAGTGCATCGGTAAGCAGGCTTACCAGTTGAAGCTACTGCCAAGGTATAAGGCGATCCACAACGTGTTCCACGTGTCCTTACTAGAAAGGTATTGGAAAAACACAGAGGAACCCAACCCTCCACCTAGCCCAGAAATTGTGGACGGTGAGGAAGAATACCAAGTAGAAGCGGTCCTAGACCACAGGATAATCAAACGAGGCAGGGGCCAGAGAGAGGAATACCTTATTAGATGGGCTGGTTATACAGCTGCAGACGACCAATGGGTGCCAAAACATGATGTAGGGCTATCGTTAATTGAGGCATATCACAGGAAGCATGCACAAGGAAGCAAGGATGGGACAACGTAATGGTATTGGCCTTGGTGGCATTGCTGTATACGCGCTGGGCAGCGTGAAGGGCGCTGATGGCCTGGACAGTAGCCTCAGAATCAGCAGCAAGGCCAGCATCTTCGTCGTCAGCCCAACAGTTCAGGAGAGTGTCGGCCGCAAGCTGGAGGGCCTCCAACTCGGCGCCAAGCTGGGCAGCAGCCTACCCAACCATTAGTACAAACAAACAATGAGGAGGGAGTCCCTTACTGGAACGCACGCGTGGTTGCCCCGAAGGCAGTCTGCGCACTTGGCCATGCTGGAAGGGACCCAGCACATCTGGCCTGGGAAGTTGTAATACGTGTGTGCACACTTCATGCAGCATGGGCGGGAGCCAGCGCGAAGGCGTCCTGCAGAATCAGGAACCTCACAGCGGGCAGCGACCTTCCACCCAAGCACGGTGCGCTCATCCTTTGGAGCCTCGGACTCAGAAACGATGGAGCCTTCAAGATCCTCAGCTTCGTCCTCGACTTCAGGCGAACGATACGGACGGATAGTGCGAGAACGTGATGTGGAGGAGGCGACAACAGAAGGAACAGGCGTGGCGGGCACCTGCGACTCGGGAGAGCTGGACATCTGGGCCGCTGGTCGCTTGCGAGGTGTAGCAACTAGAGCCTTCCCCTTCGGCTTGGGAGCCATGATGAGGGTTGGACGATGTGAGATCTATCCGTAACGATAAGCTCCTGCAATCCAGGTGGAAAGGAAGTGATTACCTTAAAGAAACAAGCAACTGTGTAGGCCCCAAAGGTTGGGACTAAGATCGAGGGCGAAAGGCGAAGTAAGGTGATGTTGAGGATGAAGGTGGCAGGAAGTTCGATAGGAAGTTTGGAAGGAAGTAGGAGTTTGGCGCGAGACCCATAACAAAGGGGGTGGCCGCGGCAATCCACAACCAAGGGGGGTCACGGGACCAGCACACCAAGCGCACACCCAAACAAGTCCACCACCCGGGTCAAAACAAAAAGTCTAAACAAGCCAGGAGGGCAAGTAAGCCCTAGCTGCGAAACCTTGGAATTGAGGGCAATCCCTCTAAGAGGGGAGGTAATTGTAAGGAAGGCCATCACGTGCCACCACGTGAGGTCCCTTTCATAAGCGGCCCATAGGGCTCGGTAAAATAGGGCACAAGGTGCATAGATAAAAGGGGTTGGAGGCCTCGGAAGAAGGCCTCCAGTCAATAGTCGCTGTGTATACGTAGACCTATTGTGCTTACAGAATACGATACCTTCCTGCCTCCTGACCTGGTTCCCTGGACTCCCGTGAGACCTTAGGCTTACGCTTTACACATCCCGACCGTTAAGCTCCCTTCGCACTAGGTTCTCGAGGTCCAAGCCGTCGTAATCCGGCAGTCCTTGACCTATAAATGCCTTTCTCAGAAAGCCTTTCCAGATACTCCTCCTTTGATCTGCGCTAAGGGTATTATAGTTGATCTTGAACTGGATTCTGCTAGCGATAGCATCATCAATATGCGCGACTCGATTGGTCGTGAGGAACATGATGCCTTGGTAATATTCAAGCGTTCGCAAGAATACACAGACTATAGCATTGCGAATTATCTCTGAGGGTGAGCGCTGCTCTAAATAAACATCTGCTTCATCAAGTAGGAGAAGAGCATTCCATCTTGAAGCGCGTTGGAAGATACCTGGAAGGCGTGCCTCAACGCTTTCTGCACTAGTGCCCAGCTCGCCCGCGGAGACCTGTATTATTAGTATGTGCGTAAGATGGGGGCTAAGCAGACATACCGAATAGAGTGGCTTTTGAAGATGCTCAGAGAGGACTTCAGCTGTCAAAGTCTTCCCCACACCTGGTGGGCCGCTATATAAAAGTCAGTATGCGATTATTAATTCAGATGACTAGTCACCATACTGTAGGAGCACATTTAGGCCCTGACCTTTCCCAGCAACGAAATCATCAAAACGGTTGTCAGATGATCGTGCCATGTGGGCCTCAGAAAGGGCCTGTATGGCCTTCTTTTTCTTGTCAGGGATTTGGAGGTGGGCGAGAGCAGCAGGCTGCCACTTGATGTCCTCGATGTCACCAACGGCAAATTCGACTGTAGACGTGTCAGTTGGACAAGAACCTCAATCATACTGAATCGGGATGCTTACGCCATAAGTTCCTGTCAAGGCTGAAACCGAGTACCGTCGGGCTGCACAGGAGCACGTCATCTCCAGCCACCTCCGCTGAGCTCTTCCCAATGCATTTTACGACGTCTGCAGACGTTACAGTGGTACCGTCCAAATCGAAAGAGAGCCAAATATTAGATGAAGACTTAGAAGGCTCGCTAATGCTTGGTTTCTTGTAATTTGGGTTGGTTTCTCTGAAGTGGGCCGGATCAACCATGATTCGGCCCTTGATAGTCACCTCGATTGGACGTCCTTTCTCCATGTAGAAGGCCTTCCCATGGTACTCAACGTGATGGATACCTGTCAATCCAAGAAATCTGTGACCACACTTGAGTAGTTGCGCCCTTGCATTGCTTTCGTTTGCGTGGCAATGAAGAGGAAATACCTCAAGAGTATCAATCCGCTTAGCGCCACGAAACTTTTCGATTGAGAGATGAATTACTGCTTCACCAAGTACCTTTCCATCAAAATCGAGATAACGACCTTCTATGTGAAAATACTTCACCCCACTGTTTGTCTTCCGTTCTTCTCCAAAATCATACTTGACACATCTTGGCTTTCCTGTGCCGAAACACTTGGTATATACTAACGTATTTGATTTGAAGAGGGCCCAAAGCAGGTCAAATGTGATGTGGCCGTCTTCTAAGATGGGGTTCAGACTCTGTCTTGTAGGTCCATAGGCTGTCTTGATGTAGTCGATAAGCGACTCCAAGTGTGATTCATGTTCGGCGATCTTACTCTGTTCAACGTCCCGATAGAGTTTTAGTCCTCGATATAACTCTATTTCAGGCAGATAGTGGTGTAAAAGATTCTGCTCAACCTAAAAGACAATCAGTCAAGGCTGCTGAAAGTGTAGAAACAGAGAAGACGCACAGATAGGACTGGTTCTTTTAAGCTGATTCCTTGAACATCTCCCAAGATAACCCTCAGGATATCGCGCAAACTCTCCGACTTGATGTCGATGTGGAACTGCGTCTCTTTCGTATCCTTGTCTGTCGGGCAACAATCAGATATAGTACACCTTCATGGGAGTGAATACTGACCGACTCTTCTGCGGACAATGAAAACGTATTTGTCCAATGTAGTTATCTCATGAGTCGACTTTGCGGGCTCCACAAGTGCGTACTTGTACGTTTTGTTATCCCAACTGCATCGAAATGGTTTGTCAGCAAGATCCCACTCATTTAGCAGTGGCATCATACACTTCTTCAACTGTTTTGAATGCATTGGTGTCGTTGGCATCAGCTTCAGCCACCTGAGCGTCCGTGGTATCGGGTTGAGGACCGTCTGAAACCTGAGCCAATCCCGCCTGCTTTCCATCGACAAGTTCTTTCAAGAGGTCCTTGAAGTCCTGGATCGTCAGGGATTGTGTAGGTGCCTGGGGTACAGATGTACGGGATGCAAGGCGTAATTCTATCATCGAATCGACCATTTCCATAAGCCTGTACTGATTATCGAGTTCGTCGTCTGGAGCTGAAGGGTTTGCTGACTTTTCGTCGATGAGCTTCAAAATGAGTGCCTCAACATCCTTGAGAGTTACGGGTCCCGTAGATGCCGCATGTTCAGGAGCTTCAGATGTTCTCTGGGGACACTTGCACTTCGATGAAGTGGAAGCAATTTCCATGTCCACGATAGCTTTGACCATTTCAAAAAGCTTTTGGGCATTGCTGAACGTGACAACGTGTTCGGTTGATGACAGATTCGGGGTACTCGGTGGTGTGCCCGGCGGCAAATGGGTCGATGTAGGGCAGATTTGAATCATCTCTTTTTGGGCCATGATCATTGTAGAGGGTTGGCAGGTGGCTTAATATGCGTGATGGGAGATATAAACAGAAGTAAGAGCTTGAAGATGAGTGATGATATGAAGACTGCAGAGATTCGTAATTGCACTTCTGGGGAATCGCATGCCCTTATATATTTCTCAATCGTTTGCTCATGTCAATTGAAGACCAAACCCTCCCTGTAAACTAACAACGGCTAGGGAGTTGAGGGAAGCCAATCCTTCTAAGTTCAGGATCACCAGCAGCTCACGGTTGCAGCATTGGCCGATTGAATATTCAAGAAGGTCCAAGGGTGCATCATGCAAACAACGCGGGGAATCACATATCTGCAAGACAGTGTTGGGGGGGATGCTGGCGAGACCGATTCACAATGCAGCAGTGTGGGGAAAGCAGCCCATTCATGTGAGACAGTACGACCGTTCGGGCGGATACTGCGGGAGGAGTTCATATTTCTCATTCGGGAGTAAGAGGGACTAGATTGATGCATGGCTCAAGACCCCTGAATAACTAACGTGACATCAGATGGGAGTGGTGTTCGGGGTGCTCTGATTGTACAAGGGCAGGCCGATGTCCTAGGTTGTGCATTTCCCTGGGAATAGAGTATTCCTAATTGTCTCCACTGGACTAGAGCAACGCGGCAGATTCATCGAGGTCTGAAGAATATTCATCGAAGGGCACAACTAGGTGAAATGAAATGAATATAGTGAATGAAATGAAACGTGTAAAATGAAATGGAGTCGGGAACCCAATGATCCGAATGACCAATAGGAAGAGGTGTACTGTGTGTTTAATGTTAGGCTGACCGACTAAGATCCATGCATGTCATTGGTCAACTGACTCCGACTGACTAATATTTGTGGGAGGGGAAGGCATGGACCACCTTCGGTAAAATACATTTCTCTGGTTTCATTTCATTTCATTCATCCTAGCTTCTCTTTCATTCATTTCACTTCATCATTCCAGTTTGGGTCGTTTGCGATGACTTCCGACGCCCAAATCAATAAATTTCTTACCAAGATTGATGAGAAATCCAAGCAGCTGAGAAGTAATGATATGACACGTGGCGATCAGGAACTTTTGAAGAACCGCCGTCTCGACCTCATTTGGGGCGATCTTATCGTCGAGAAGGCTGATAGTCAGGATGCACAAGTGAGTGCATGGCGGAAATCTCGAGCTCGTCGTGTCTACAGGGAAATACAGGATACAAACGATCACTTGTTCCTTGCTTTCGTGTTGGTCATCCCGCCAACAGAATGTGTCAAAAAAAGCTTCGGCGACATCATGGAGTACCTTATTCGCCTTAAAAACTACGAACCTTATCGTATAAACTTAAGCCCTGCTACCAAAATGTTTTTCGAGTCAACTGCCGCAGAAAAAGGGCTCAACAGCTGCCCTTACTACCTCAGATTTATGCAAGCGTTATTTCCTAAACGCGTCTACCCATTGGAGAGTGGACAGCCTGCAAAACTGAGTCATTTAGATGCGGAAAGCATTCAATCGTGGAACGACCAGTCACCGGATAATCGATCTCGAAAACGACAACGCACCTCAACAGACGAGGTATATCCACCAGGTGTGACTGACAGGGCTGGGTCGGATGGTCCTGATGCCGTCATACGTAAGTCCTCTAGCGATTCTACTTTTCTTTTCTAACTGGATTGGTTAGGGCTCCTGGAAGCTCATCCAAAGAGCGATGAAGACGCTCGACAAACCACTACAGCATCGCCAGCTGTTTCGATCACTTGTTCCAACACACCTCCCAATGAAATGGAAAGCGGACCCACAGAGAAACACCTAGTACTGGAAAATGCTTCACTACGAGGGATCGCAGAAGTTTTTGACAACTATATCTGTGCTGCGATCAGCAAAGTCACCGTCCAAAATAATGAAAACCCATATAACGCTGCTGTAACGATGAACTTTCCTCCTCGTGGACTAGTTGATTGTCTCATGAGTCTGGATGTCCACCAAAGCAAGGTGGGATATCTCGCGATGGCTTTGTTCAAGGTTCGAGTGGAGTCGGTGGGACAAGTTCGGTATGTCGGCCTAAAAGATGGGGTCAGACTGACTCCCAATCCCGAAATTACCCTGAAAGGCGTTATGGATGAAGCTATCATTGATGTGTTTGGTTCTGAGATACATGGGGCAATAACCACGTGCCGTATGCGTGAGAAGGAACTGGAGGAAGGAAATAACGTCACTCAATGCGTATCAATGATACTTACAAGTAGACCTAGTGATGGAGCTATCATCAACCTATCACTTGGTTTGAAAGGTGGTTTTCAAATACAAAACAAGCTATATACCTAGAATGCAATACTTTAGCATACAATGCTATAATTCCTTCACTTTCCCTTTAAAACAATACAATTGAGTACCCGGTGATACCTTCCCCTTTCCAGTATATATGTCTAGCACCTTCTCCCGCTTATTCCCCTCGCTGTCTCTCTCAAAGACCGTGACGATACATCCTTTCCAGTAAACCCACTGATCTTTGCCTTCAACCCATTTAACAGTATTGTCAGGAATAGTCGTGAAATCGACTGTCAGATCGACTGCCAGATCGACTTCTTCAGGGACAAACGCCTACTAATGTTTAGATGGGTAAAAATCACAACAGAGAGCGACTTTACCATCAAGATGTCTTGTTTCCCCTGCTTGAATACAATTGTAGTAATGACTAATCGTTTGATAAATTCCGTGTCTTCGCGACGGCTGGATCTCCTTCAAGAGTATGGTGTTTGTAGAGACAAATTTGGTCGGGAGAGGTTGCGTCTTAACGCTTGTAAATTCCGAGCTGGCCAGGCCAGAGATCGTCTGAGCTTCGTAACGCGCAAGCTTGGGACTTCGGTGACTATAGCGATTATCGCGCCTGTACAATATCAACAGCTGCACGAAACTGCACGGTGGATACTTACCTTGGCCAGGCTTGCGGGGTAGTGGTAGAGATTGGCCTATTTGCGCAAATACCGAAGGTGAAGTCCGAGTCTTCGAAGCTAGAGACACTCTTGCACATTCGATAGAGAAAAATAGATGTTAAATGTGATGGATAGGCGGAGGTGAAGGCGAAAAGAAGAACGAGAAGATGAAATGAATAAATCGAACGCGGAAATGGTGATGTACGGAAGACTGGACGTAATGGCGCCAACTTTGCAATTGGTGGGGCTTAATACCATGTGATTTATCTAAACCGACTTGTGACCGTGCAATCAGGCTTCAATGCCTTTCAGGCTCCAAACGAAATACGTATAGAGAAAGACCACCACAATCAAACGACATTCTCTAGTACTGTAATATTAACTAGTTGTTCCGCCTTTTAGTCAACTGGATATCTTGAACTTATGCACAATCTCTGAAACTGCTGAGATGTCTTTTGTCATGGCAGATTTTGGGATAATCTGGATCTCCAGGTGGGGCTACAAAATTCACGTGACGTGATTGACACGCACGAAAGAGCATTCCCCACGGCAATGATGCTAGTGGCTCTGATTTTGAAATATTCCTTGCTGCTGGTCGGGCACAACAATCCGTTCCGCGAATGCCTACTACTTTGGATGATAATACTCTCCATACCATTACAGGAACAATCTTGCACAGGGCAAAGTTATAGCTCAACAAACTTGTCCCCGCGACATTGCTCGACACTCGGCGACATTGCCCGACATGTGTCGACCTCCCAGCACGACACTCACCCAAATTTCTTGACCCCTGTTACTTCAAGCTTCAAAGTTCTGTGAGCTGAAGCACCCTTTGCGGGAGTATATATCTAAGAAGGCTAAGCACTGAAACTTGATTCATCGCTGAAGGTGCCTCAACATACCAATGATTTTTTTCAAGGCGTTGTTGTCAGAATCGACTGAGAAAATCTCATTCTCCTTTGCTCTAAAGTCTTCAGGTACTTCCTGCCCAATGTATCCAGCCCGACCGAAGTCGATGACAGTAATGAACCCTTCCTGATTCAGCATTAGATTGCTTGGAGAGATGTCATGGTGCACAACACCACCTCGATGCACTTCTTCGATTGCCTTTTCAATCTCGTGTATATGCTCCGTCGCATTGCCTAAATCAATGTCGACGAGTCTCTCCATTCTGAATCCAAAGATGCCTTGTTCATCGACTAATGGCTCTCGATGTGTACGAACAACAGGAACTTCGTTTGACGATAAATGCCGGAGAATTGCGAACTCCTGTTGAAGTAAGCGTCTTTGACGATCATTAATCGCGACTTTGCAGATTGGGTATCCGTCTGTGCAAGAATCTAAAGCCCTTATATGGGAATCCGCTCCATATTTCAGAAGTCGAGACGTTGTCCATAACTTATGAACATTTGAGCTATGCGGTATTAGAGAAACAGAAGCGTCGTCCACTCGTGGAAACCGTGTCAAATCTGGCAGCTTCTTCCAGTCACCATCCCAGCGTAGAAGATATTCATTGCCCTTGAAGTCAACATTGACAGTGCAAGACTTGTCGATGGGATATGGAAACGTGATCGGTTGGGCAGACATCCTGCGAGTTACTCATCAGCATCTGTTTGCAAATCCATTCGGAGTCTTACGCTGGATTATCGAGTACTTCAGGAAAAGTGTATATGAAATGCCGAGTTTCCGTTACCTGTGACTAGATAGAATGTATGTCTTGGCAACGGTAAGACCCGCTGTCACATTTCATTTCATTTCATTTCACTTGTTTCTTTTTTTGTTTTCGATTTCACAAATTTCATTTTTCTTGTTTCATTTCATTTCACTTACTTCTTTTTTTGTTTTCAACTTCACAAATTTCATTTTTCTTGTTTCATTTCATTTCATGTTAGTTTCGGACACAGAGTGAGCCACACCAGGTTGGCTCTGTTTTTCATTTTTCTACAACCTTGTGACAGGCTTGCATGCAAACGGCTGTCTATAAAGACCAGCTCTCCTGACAAGATGCTCATCATTATTCACAGCCTGCGAAAATACGATACATCACGAACACCATAAGCTCTGTTAACAGTCAGTATCACAACTTACGTCTTCGGCATCTTCTACGAACAATGTGCTTCAAAGACTATTTGTTGTTTGGATGTGGGCATAGGGTGTTCCAAAAAAACTCGCCATGTGGAAAGGGTTGTGCCGAGTATGAGGATCGAGATGTCCAATACTCGACAGGCAAATGTTATGAATGTGCAACTAGTCACGTAAGTTGTTATGCCTCCTTCAGAACACACGAGCTAAGCACAGTGTGAAGGCTCCATAGGAGGACACGAAGACTAGGGGTTGAAAGGACGACATAAGCTTCCTCGATTGTGGTTTTCCCGTAGGGTTTTCCCACATCTTATGCAAATGCAGAGGTTTTTATAGCTTTGAATGACAGAATTGATTCGCTTGTCTCCTCCTACTCAACTTTCTGATGCATATACAATGCTGTTTGATGATGTTCCAGCCTTTCTCGTGATCATGATTAAGTCTTGTGCTCGTTTTGCTTGACCCATGACACACGAGTTCTGCGCCAAAAGGTCCTTTTCAGAGTTTCTGAGATCGAACGTTTCATATGCCGGAAAAACCATATTCATGTCTTTATGCGCTTTCACCTGCGTGATTTATCAACCACGATCGTAGGGGCGATTCTTATCACCCATTTGGAGAGAAGTTGATGTAAAACTGTTTAAAAGCCGCCAGATGGTGTCCGTTGGAGTATTTGACGTGTCGGACGAATTGAGGCTGATGAGGTTCTGTACTTGGGATGCTAACGGCGAAACAACCACGAAGTCGCCATGTGGCTCAGGAATACATCGTTCAGCAGATGGGGTATGCCTGGCGTCTTCCTTGGCCTTCAGAACTGTATAGACGTCGGCTGAGGTGCCTTGCCATGAGAATCGTTAGCATTTCGGCTTCAATCTTAGTTTCATCGTAAGTTGAGTACCTCGGAGTTTTTGTAATCAGTTCCCGTCGGGCCTAGCTTTCTGTTTCTTTGGATGTGCAGGCAGAATTGTAGCTAGATTGTGGTGTTGAATGGGTTCAACGATGCAAGATCCGGTATATGGATGGTGCGACAAGATCGAACCTCCCAGTGGGCTAGTAAGATGCCAAGGTTATGCCGCCAAGGGTGTACGAGGACCTGTTTTAGGACCAGTTTCAATAGAGCACCAAAGAAGACTAAATTTAGTGACGGGCTATCCCGAAGTGCTCCCCCTCATCAACATGCCTTACGTAATCAGACTGTTTGGCCAAGTGACTTCGCGATAAACTTGCATCGCGGTCGTCATACAGTACTTTCAATCTACGATCATGGCTACAGCCTCTGAACTTGACAAAATCAGATGTAATCCAATCAAAGAACGGCTAGCCACCTTCCGCCGCCGATTTGAATCAACCCGTTCGGGTCTTGATGTTCCCTCGTCGTCGAATGTAGTGCAAACTGTCTTTTCAACGGCTGCCACCGCAGGTATGGCTCAACTTCAATGATGTGTCCAATTTACTAGCTAATATATGTAGTTGCTAAATCCCTAGTGCTCGACCTTATCCAAGCTCTCCAGATCGAACCAGCAGCTCGTACCCTTCCTTCCCGAATAGCCGACAGAACCGTCTCCGGTGATCTTGCTATACTATACGGTCGCGTGGATGCGAACCAGTTGGATATTGCATCAGCCATTCCTCTAGTGGAACAGATTGTCAAGAACGAACCTGATGAACCAACCTGGAATGATTCGGATATTTGGCATGCTGTGCTTGAGTTAGTCGCGCGAACAAACCCCGCAACACCCCCGACTGCCTTCGAGAAAGCCGTTCTCGACACGCCGCTACGATCTAGTTCGGCTTCTCAAAGTGGGATTGAGCAGACACACGACGAGATTGACCAGCGAATCCGCGAGGAACTCACAGGGCGCGTCTACGACGATGTTGAAGATTTTCACGGGCGATACTTCGAAGGGAAAACCTGGACACACAAAGCGAAGAATATATACGAACAGTCCAGAACACAGTATGCGAAAGGTCGCTGGGTGGGGTGGCCAGAGCCTTCTCTCCAAAGTTCATTTTTTGACTGGTTCATGAAGTTCCAGGACACTGTTCTCAGCGGACTTGGCCGCCAGTATTACACATCAGCGAACAAAGTGCTGAGAGGTTCGGAGGCTAATCGCAAGCTTGATATTTTCCTCACCCTCGCGGACGTTGCCATATTGAACGAGGGGCACGACTGGTCAAATGTACTTGTCATTGGGGAACACAAACAAAACCCTGATGAAGATCGTTCTACAAAAACGTTGGTGCAGTTGGCAGGCTACGCTCGTGAGGTGTTTGGAAGTCAACCGGACCGGCGATTTGTGCCTGGTTTTACCATCTGCGGAAGCGTCATGCGGCTTTGGGTTTTTGACAGATCTGGCCCATACAGCTCCGAAAAATTCGACATCAACAAAGAGCCAGAGCGGTTTATTCAGGTTATTGCTGGCTATGCGCTGATGACCGAAGCGGAACTGGGATTGAATACGTTTATCAGGCGTGATGGCGATAAATACATCGTCGCACAAGGAGTGAGGATCTGGTTGGAGGACAAGCCACTCGCCTGGCAACGGGCGATCGTGTGTAGGGGAACAGCATGCTATCGAGGAAGGAATAAGGACCCAGGGAGATGGGATCACGTGGTAAAATTCGCTTGGCCGTCTGATAAAAGATACCGAGAGGGAGATTTGTTGAAGTTGGCCAAAGAAAGAGGAGTTAAAGGCATTGCCGAGTGGGTTCATCACGAGCAGATAAATATTGATGGGCACCCGGATACTATTTCGCATCTACGAAGAGGCATGAAATTTGGCGTACCACGGAAGTTATCAAGCAAAACCTCCTGGGTTGATAGTGGTGCAGGGTCCAGCCAGGGTGTCTCGATAACACGAAGTCTCCGGGGAAGATCTAGAAGCAGCAAGGGTCGCCTGACTGGTTTAGGAATCAGCACAAGCAGCACCACGATCTCCTCTTCTGGGCAGAAACGGAAAAGAGGCGGATTTGTTGATGGGAATGGCGGAATGAAGAGATCCAAATCGGGGGACAGTAGAACCGATTTGGATATCGCCACGGACGCCGAAAACGGTGATCCTGACACAGCCGACCTTCGCAGCATTCAAGAACCCGAGCCCGACAGTCTGGCAGGCTGTGAGAGTGAGACGTACGGCAACCGTATACACTGTTGCCTGGTGGTTTCCCCGGCTGGGCGGCCACTCCACGCATATAGGTCAACGAAGGAGCTTCTGGAGGCGCTACGTGATGCTGTCAGAGGTCACAAGTCGCTTCTTGAGGATGGGAAGATTCTTCATAGGGACATTTCCGAGAATAATATCATTATCACCGAAGCTGCATCCAAAGGAGAGCCGACAGGGAGACTGATTGACCTGGACTTAGCGAAGGAGTTGGACAGTGTGCCGAGTGGAGCTAGCCATCGCACTGGCACTATGCAGTTCATGGCGATCGAGGTGCTGCAGGGCAAGGGCCACACTTATCGGCACGATCTCGAGTCGTTTTTCTATGTTTTATATGGATGTGCATTCGTTATGGTCATGTTGACATGGACGAAGGGCAGGCTAGGAAGGAGTCAAGGCCGTTGGCAACAAGTGCTCTTCGGGATTGGTATACTGGAAATTATAGGCAAATTGCCAACACGAAACTAGGCCATATGGATAAGAGCCAGTTTGAGGGCATTATCGCGGAATTTGCCCCGAGGTTCGAGTGCCTCAAACAGTTGGCTCGCGAGCTCCGAAATGTACTCTTTCCGATCAGGGACGGGGAAATCTTTAGAGGAACTTTCCGCGACAACGATATAATGTACGATGGGATGATCGAGGCATTTAACAAAGCAATTGCCAGCCTTGGGAAAGACGATCAAGAAGAGCATTGTGAGGCGCATAGCTTGTTATAGGGGTTTGGGGAAAGCTGTATGATAGATATATTTATTGATACCATAGAAGTAAATGAATAATAGTTAATCACCAAAAAACTCCGCGACTGAGGGCAGATTTTGTCTCGAGCTTTTAGTGCGATGGCCTGGGCGTTGATTATTAAGAATAATGTCCGAGGAGTTAAATAGGGCACAAAGGACAATAAACAGCGGTACAGTTAACAAAAAAATCCTATTCGGCATCAGAATCAGAGTCTCTGTTCTTTAACTCGTTGCAATAGCGCACTTGAAGCGATCCGATGCTCCTGTCCGGGAAAGCACGGATGAAAGCCTGATGTATCTCTTTCCACGGCAAGCCCTTCTTCTCGAGGCGCATCAGCAAATTATCTTCCTGCGCTGTATATTGGAGTCCTCCACGCTTTCTCTGCTTCTGCGGTGCTGGCTGCGACCTCTTTGCATGAGATGCGCAAACCCGTGGGTGAGCTGATTTTCCGGCTGATTCCCCGTTAGACGTAGAATTTGATATGTGGAGACCGATTGATGGTCTGAACGAATCTGGAAGATCTAGCAGCCTGAACTCTAGGTTGTAAGTCGTCTCTCGCCCGATCCTCACGCACTTGAGAGAACCCTGAAGAGGATATTCTCGGTAGTCCGCGCCTAGAATTAACTCCGCATCGGCTGGTGAGCTCTGAGACATGGTAGAGTCCCGAGTAGTGCGGGTCTGGGCTTGGACTACAGTGGGTGAGCGCGTGTGGACCTTCTTGCGGATGGCGGTTTCAGTCGCGTCAGACTCTATGTGGCGGCGCTTTCGTCGTCTTGGAGGCCGCACATCCTCGTCCTCGTCATCTTCATTATCCTCGTTGTCCTTATGATATGGTTTGACGCTGTGTTGGCGGGCTTGTGAGAGACGGGCCACAACTATGGTCTCGTCTTCCTCCCGTTGGTGCTGAAGACTCTCCTTTATTTGCTGGCTGTAGCTAATCGGGCCCTTATCCTTGCCGCTAGTCGCCTCTATATCGTCCTCGTCTTTCGTCTTCATGCTGTTTTTGTTGGCAATGCTGCGATTCAATCATCTTCTCCCACAATCGTTCTTCGCTCGAAATACCTCGAACGTCTGTATTATTTTGACTTTCCTGGTCCATCTGATTGTATTTGGAGTGAGCTGCGCTTAAAGGCGGCGACCGACCCGCTTCTGCTGGAGTTTGTCGTGGTTCATCCTCGATGTCGCAGACGCTGCCATGGTCGCACGATCCACCAGCCCTCTCGCGAAGTGGAGAAGGCCTCATTTCGTCGACTATGGCCTTCTCGACACCCTGGTGATTTTGATCATGATCCGTTGTCTCAGCTAGCTCAGAGCAACTTGGAGAAGGTTGTCGAACGTGAACAGGGAATGTCGAGTCCAGCTCTGCAAAAGACAGGCGTTGTTGTCCATCCTTAGATGTCATACTGACATTCGTTGCACTCAGTTTGCTATCAAACTCAAGAGCAAACTTAGAAATCTCCTCCTCAAACCTACAAGTCACCATACATATCTTGGCTTATCACACCAACAACAGAAGCAATACTACTCAACGATTGCTGCAAACTCTTCTACTACATCTGTTTATGCTACATACATCACGGCATATCATTTGGACACTCATTGAACAAGTTATTAAGAAAATCTCCTCCTTAAGGGGGTGGGCCAATACTACCACATGGCATATCTCTACCAACTAGAGGCCTAGGAACATGAACGATAGCTCTAGAAGCTTCTACAACCCTCTATGATTCATTACACGTCATCGCTCCTTAGTTACCCACAAGATTGGTTAAGTTATGACATAATTTGTCTATAGGTACTCTGACCTTGGACCTCCTTTTCACTTCCTATAGGCTAGGAACCCAAGAGATGGTTCTATGGGATTCTCTTACGTTCACTACATGATTAGCAAGCTAGTTGTGGGTCGCACTTGATTTCTAATACATTTACCAAGCCTGGTTAGTCATGGAAAGTCATGGAAAATGAGAGAACTACACTCCTTTGGCATAAATAGGATTGCCCTTTCCTTAAGAAAGGGCAAGCAGGCAATACAGTAAATCGACTAGCACATACTTCTACGTCTTTTCCAAGCTTCCAAGCATTGATCTTGTTATTCTCTGTTTTTGAAAAGTCAGTGAGGTGCTAACCTCTGACTTACCCCTGAGTTCTCAGAATCAACATTTGTTGCAACTTGTCTAAACCACTTCACCACATCATACACCTGATTGCTGCGTTGTGGAATAGTCTAAGCTACAACCCTTTGGCTCTGTTTCCTAAGACAGTGTGTTGTCTTAGTAAATTCATCCCTTCCTTGGGTGGCTAGATTCTCATATCTGGTGCACCCACCATTACACCTTGCCTGCTTCAAGCTTCAACTATTTCTATAGCAGCACTTCGATACTACAATGGAGGTGTTACGACGGAACAAGAAGGCTGGCCAACTACAGGACAGGAAGGAGGGAGGTCGCATGAGACCGGCCCTGGTACCTGGAGGGGCAGCGGGGAATAGTAGTTCCGAAAGTATCACGTGACGGACTCGCAGGATGATGAGAAGAGTCCTAAGAGTCCAGGACTCCGAGGACTCGAGTGAGTTCCCAGGAGTCCACTAGGCACGTGATGGACTCGCAGGATGATGAGAAGAGTCCTAAGAGTCCAGGACTCCGAGGACTCGAGTGAGTTCCCAAGAGTCCACTAGGCACGACGCCACTATATAAGTAGATAGTATTTCCTTAGATAGGAGCTTCGTGCTCAACTCAATACAGTATTTGTTATATACTAGTAACGTGTTACTTGAAGCCTTTGTGTCTGATCCCCTGCCTCCTCTGATAAGTAAACCTTTACGCAAGAGAACCTCTGTGTCTTCTATCGTTTAGAAGTCAGCGTTACACTTTGAGCACCACTTCTACGAGGTACCGGCTTACACACAAAGCAACATGTCTGTCGTCAGTTCGAAGGGGAAAACCCCCACCACGCCAACTTCGTCTCAGAGGTCTAAGCCTGAGAATGAAGAGATGCCCGATGCACCCACCGTCAACGAACTCAAGGAAACTCTACGCGTCAAGTTGCCCGACACTTACTCCGGCAACCGAAAGGAACTTGAGGTGTTTTTGCTACAGGTCGAACTGTACCAGCACTTCAATGATGAGAAGTTTCCCACCCAGGAGAGCTATGCCCTGTGGACTGCGTCCTACCTTAGGGGGGAAGCCCTGCGATGGATCGAACCATTCCTCAAGGATCATTTCAAATATGAAAGTACCAATGGAAGCATGACAACTACGCAGACTATGTTTGGCAGCTGGAATGGATTCTGTAAGGAAATCCGACGCATGTTCGGAGACATCGATGAGATTAAGACCGCGGAAGACCATCTGTTTGCACTTAAGCAGACTGGCAGCGCCCTCACATACTCCACAGAATTCCAGAGATACGGCAATCAGACAGGATGGGACGCCAGCGCACTCATCAGCCACTACCGACGTGGGCTGAAGAGCCATATACGTATGGAACTTGCCCGTTTGGAACAACAACCAACGGACATGGTAGCGCTAATCGAACATACGGTCCGAATCGACAATCGACTATACGAATTCCAGAAGGAACGTCGGACCTATGACAAGCCCAAGAAAAGTTACCCCTACCGGGGAAACGAGGGCAGACGACGGGATCAACACCCGCGAGACAACCGTTGGTCGGACCCAATGGAACTCGATGCCACGTTCAAACCTGGACGACCCCGTGACCCTAAGAAAGACAGACAATTCAAGGAACGACTCTGTTTTAACTGCGACAAGCCAGGCCACATGGCCCGAGACTGCAGACAGCCAAAGAAAGGGAACGGCGGACGCAAAGTCGGCAAACAACTCAATGCCACCTGGACAGGACAGTTGAACGCAACGTTTGTGAGCAAACAGGACTGGGGAATAAACAGCGAAAGCACCCCAGAAGACGAGAGCTCAGATGAAGGGTCGGAGGCGGAATCGTTCACCGTCTCGGAACAGGAGACCTTCGATGAACTCGCACCTACGGAACCAATGAGTCCACGGTGCAAGAGCGTAGTAAGACGCATGGCAAAACACGCCCACGCGAAGATTAGGGCCGAACGAGACAAGCCCAATGGCCAGAGGAGAATCCCCATGCTTAAAGACCTCTACGGGAACCTGTTACAGGAACTTCCGTTAAAATGCAAGGTGGACGACTCCAAGGATGACCTCTGGAGATACTACGACCAACTAACGAATACCCGCAGGCTGCTTGGCACGTCCCAAGACGTAGCTAAGTTGGAAGCCCAAGAAGCGGAAGAACTGGAGAAGGATGTCGAGCATATGGCTAAACTGAAGTATATGAAAAGCGTCGAACTTTACTACCAGGACCGCAGGAGAGCCCTGAAGAAGTACGACGAGAAAGCCAGAGATATGCTCCGACGGGAAAATGCGAGACCCACTCCACGCATCGAAAGGAGAGCCATGGAGCAACTAGACACGTTCTCCACGCCTCCGAGGGAAGATAGTGCATGGGTGAGAGGACAGCGGGAACTATCAATGACAGACGCAACAGAGACTGATCATCCCTGGCACGCGTATGTCTACTGGGAGTATTGCAGCGAAGATGACTGCAAGCTCCACTGGAAAAAGAAACACCAGAATCAGTTGTTTCCCCGATCCTCACCCAGGATACACTTCAGAGACGCAGAGCAAGTTCACGCCCTCAGGCGAAGCCAGTCTGAAGGGGACTTGCCTATCAAAAGCGAACAGGTATACGAGAAATACCCACATCTGCTAGACGAAGCAGAAGAGCGAGGGAAACGATCTCCCCAAGGACCACCATTGGAAGCGGATGAATACTATCCTTCCTCGGACGAGTCAAAAAACTAGGAGTCCTCGACGGTAGGCCACCGGATGAATACTATCCTTCCTCGGACGAGTCAAAAAACTAGGAGTCCTCGACGGTAGGCCACCGGCGAGCGACACGAAGAGGCCTAGTACAGACCAGCTATGCGCCACGACGGGCAGCATGCAACTATATGTGGTCGCTAAGATACAACAGTGACACCTCCGAGCAATGATTG